AGAGAGAGAGAGAGAGAGCATTCTTCAAAGTGTTGCATATTGAACGCGGCCGATCTTGTGAATTATACGGCACGAGTTGTCGGATTCCCCACTGCCGGTGGTCATACTTATTCGAGATCCGCTCGCTGGAAGATTCTTATTACAAGAAATAGCTTTACGAGACCCGGTCGCGTCATTAAGTATGCATGTCCCGACCGCAGGCACGACTCTGCGTCCCAAGACGTTCGCGGAGCATGGGACCTTCTAATCTTTCTACGATCTACCACGGTTCTACCCTTTTACGGTTTTGTGTAATAATCGAGGAATAATCGTTTCTTACTTGTGAATTTAAATGATGGATTTTCTACTCCAGTTTTATATTTTTACGTAATCAGATATAATATCGTCACTGTCTAAATATAATCTTTTTGTTGTGAAATAAAATTAACGTCAATACGCGTTATAATTCCTTTGCGGTATTTCTCATTAGCATCGACAAGTTGCGACGACAATACCGTTTAATGTGACATGACTTTTTATGCGCATATTTTAAGGTGGCATGTTGTCGCAATTTTTATTTGCATTTGGTTAATCTTTATTAATGTATGTATTTGCTTAGGAATAAAAAGCTGGGAATAATTCGAAAAAAAGAAATCTATAAAGTGAAACATATTTCATAATTTTTTAAACTTAAAATTCATAACGTTAATAAGTTTATTTGCAAAGCGTAAAAAGTCTTACGAAAAGTTATGTGATTTCAAAACAGTAAAATTTTTACACCGGAATCGAAATGTCGTACTAATTAGGGAGACCGTGTCTCGATTTCTATGTATGTATCTCTGGAAATTGAAGGTGTAACAGAGGACAACGTGCCAGGAGACTCGTGCATGATAGGTGGGGCGTATGGTTCCCAGAGCGTAGCGTAGGTAGGTACGTCTTAACCTGAGATCAGTCCGGGCATCAGTGATCCCTTCTCTGCCGCAGCATCCGAATGCGGCAACGGACGTAGCGCGCGGGCCGGAACGGAAGCCGGCATTGAGCTCGCTGTTGGCGTGTCAATAATCGCTCAGTCTCTCGTGCAAGTGAATTCCTTCGCAATCGGATGCACCGTACACGCTCGGACGGGCCCGTTAACGACCGAGGAAGTAGCATCGCTCTGTCGCCGTTGCGATCGTTGAACGACGTTAACTTGACTTTTTGGGACGAGCTTTTCCGGATGCCGGACCTTCGGAGTGGATGACAAATTGTCGGAACGTCGCGTTGGACGACCGACTGAAAAATATGCTGCCATGAGATCGGGCCACGGAATATCTCGTGGACATTCCTCGTTGACACGTATAGATACGAGTGAGTCGAAGTGAGTTTGAAGCGGTTGCTTATCACAATTCGTACGACCGTTCTGTAACTTAAGAATTTTCACATGCTACGTACAGTGTTTCTAGGCGGTGCTTTTTTTTTCTTCATTTCCGACGTTGACAGTGATTAATTTCTACTTCTAAATTAATGATGTATCCCGGACTGTCTATCAGCCGGACAATGTTACTCTGTACGTTCGTTCTTTCAATTACAAGCCGCCGTACAATTTAATTGATAAAAAAGATCCATGGTACATTGATGCGCCATATCCGATAACGCGCCGTTCGTCGCCGTAGTCCGCTATTAATCCGTGTTCCATTCATGAATTGGTCATGGGGAAAGTATCGCGCTCGGCTTTGCTTTCTGGGGCGTTTCACGTTCGATGACCCACAATTTACAGCGCCCGCTCACCCGTTACTTATCGTCCTTCGCATATCGCTTATCCGGGGAACATCCAGTATCATTAAACGAAGATATCTCTCTTTTCTCGACCGGCCGAGACTTACGGCCGATCCTTTATCGACGTGGTCTCCTTCCCTCGGGCTGTTATAAACGACGTGCATCGAAGAAAAAAGTGTTACGGACCTGCTTCGAGGATCCTTCACGGATTGTCGACGAGATAC